CCGGGCCAGCGCCGGCCCCGCGCGGGCAGCGGGGCGGGAACCAGGGATTCACTGCACCCAGCCTCACCCCCCAGGAGCGCTTCAGCAGCTCGGTCGCAGTAATCCCGGGGAGGAGCAACGAGCTATTTCTGGGGCCTCGGGGGACGCAGCAGAAATGCTGTCTGAGCCGCCCCCAGCCCACCCCAGCCCAGCCCGGTATAGAGAGGACGTGACCTGCAGGGGCTGCCGGGCCCAAGCCCCGGCCGGTTTGGCAAGACAGATTGCGTTGCCGAGGAAAGCTACTTGCCAGGAAAGCCCCCACCCCCGCGCCTCTGCCCCTACCTGGCCTCTTCCTCTTCCTCCTATCCCCAGCTCCGAGGCCGCCCCGCCAGCTGCCGCCTGATGGATGACTGGAGCTGCAGGAACTTTTCTACTGCAAGGGATCAATGCGTCTGCCCGGGATTGAGCTGTCTGCGGGCACCTTCGCTCACAACGAGGCGAATTTGTGTAAAAGGGGGGGAGGGATGCACCGCTCCAGTGCTCCTGACCCTGCGGAGGAGAGCTCCTGGGTGCGCATAAAACCCAAAGGCCTGTGTGAGCGCAGGGCGCTTTGCGCAGGCAGACTCCCAACCCCGGTGTCACCACCCGAGATCGGGGGCTGCTCCGTGAGCCGGAATCGCTCAGCCCCGACCTCCTGCGTGAAACCAGGCGGCCGGTGTCTTCAGCAAGCAGGCGCTTTGCTCGGACGCGACCCCACTAGGGAGAGCGGATCCGTGGGTTTCATCGTATTGCATTAAAAAGATCCCGGGCTGTTTGCAAGGGGAGAGTGGGAGGAAATGGGTGGACTGGAAATCCAGATGCGGACTATGCCAGGCCCAGAACTTGCTGGAGTTCATCGTGTCACACTGTAGACCCGGGCTGAGAACTGTGCACGGCCATTAGTGGAAATGAACAGCTGTTAGGGAACTCGGTGTTAGATGAATAATCGAAAAATCGTGTTCAATTATGTTTTAGGGTTAATAGTTAAATTGCGGCTACAAAATCTTTTATGTTTCATGGTTTACTGGTGTTGTAAAGAATCGCCATCAGGTCTGCTCATAGCTGCGGTGCATATGCTTTTAAAATGTGAATGTTTCCAGTTGAAACCTGGTGCATGACAGATTAAAACACAGAGAAAACCTGAGGGAGATTTTGAGAACGCACACTTGACAGCCCTGGAAATATATTAACCACAGGCACTGAGCAACTTTGGACTCTTTTTAAAATGCAGCTACCCCCTGAAAATTATTAATACAACAGTGAGAATCTAATGGAGGTTGGAATCTAAAAATCTACCCTGATGTTATCTGCTGCTACAGTAATATAGACATAGTGTAAATGTATTTTAAAATATATAGCCCATTTAATTCCCCAGCTATAAATGGGATAGAAATAGAGAGAGAAGAGGAGAGTATATCTTTTTTTTCCAGGAGCCAAAAGCTTTATGAAGATCTCATTGGAATCCAGCGGATGATTAATGTGAAGATTTGGTAGGAAATCTGGAGAGCTGTATTAAAGCTCAGATCTCAGGTTCATTTCGATCAGCCAGCCGTGAACTCTGGGCCGAATTCATTACACTTTAATAGTGCTGGGAGAGGAAGAAAATGCAATTTCTCATTCCATTAGAAAACTAGAAAATACTCTCAGCTTGTCCCCTATTAAGATGTGGCAGGTGACAGGACCGTTGTGGGGGACACGGTCAATGGAATTACAACACATTATTTTTGTTCGTATAAAATATTGAAAGGCAAGCCTGGCTGTGCAGAAGTTATTTCACTGATTTGGTTTTTATGTAAATAAAATATTGAAAGTTAATTAATCCGTGCTAGAGACTAATGATTATGCTTATTATATTGCATTTGATCGCGTAATTTGCATGATTCTCGCATTGCTGCTTAATAAGCCATTCCAGGTTATAAATAATTCTGAAATTGGTTTCTAATAATGGCATGCTATAAAAAGAATGGTTTTATTACACCAGCCTGAAAAGCAGAGCGATATCAGACGTGGAATAGGTCTCTCTTATAAGCACCACTCGCTTTAATAATTATTTAAATGTCTCACATACATTAAATATAGATCTAAAATGGGGGAAAGAAGTAATTTATTCCAGCATCTCAAACACTTAAAAACATACACAGACGCTATAAATTAACAGTTTGGATCATTCCTTAATCGGTGTGAACCCCACGTACAGCAAGGAATGTGTAGGCAATCTGTTAACTATAAAGAAAACTATAAAGTACTCGTATAAGAACATAAACCAATTACTATTTAATTTAAATTTGGTCAAGGAGCAATGATACAGTGAATTGTGAAGTAAATACATTTGACATAAATTATTTTTGCATTAGATTACATAATGTTAATCATTTTGAAGTGTTAATTAAGAAGGGTATGTTGATCTGATTACTTTTTAAACTAGAGAACATTATTGTAAAAAAATATTTAAATTGCCACCCTATTAAACTGTTTTTATCAGCAGTCTCGAGCCATTATCATTGGTTTAGGATTATGCTGAGACTATTAAAACACTTTGTCTTTCTTCCTACGAATTTCTTTGATGTGCTTTTGGAAAATAACTATTTCCATTATATATTTTACATTTTATTTCATCTACCGCACTCCTAATATTGAAATTGGTATCATTAACCTTTGGGAAACCCAATAAAGTTTAATAGACCTCGTTTTCTTTTTTCATAAAGTCCGTTGTCCAATTATATTTTATTTGTGAGTCTAATTCCTAGTTTAATTTAAGGTAATTATCATTTCGTGTGAGTCGAGTAAAATTGTTTTCCTGTTTAAAACAAACGCATATGCATTCTGCTACATACAAGAATACAGCTCCTTTTTATGTAATGTTAATTCACTTATGATTTTTTTAACATATCTCTTTATTTAGCTTGTCGGTCTGGGCTTGCCGTGAGAAATTTTGGAGAGGAGCACGATTAAAATAAAAGAGAGTTCACAAGGTCATCATGCCCAGCAGCAAAAGCACTTTCGACCAGTAATTACAGCGTGCATGGATTCATTTCTCAGAGACTCGCTCAAAAGCCCACACAATAACACTTAATTTCTAAAATCGTTTTGCGTAAGAATCTGTTGTTTTTTTACCCATCTCGCCCGCTTCCACTTTCCTCCTAAATGTATGTGGATAACCTGTTTGCTGTATGCCGAGATATATCTTCATCTACATAGCTATCGAGAGATAAATATAGGTCTCACTCCATAACAGGAAATTTAAACTGTTCATTGTCCCTGTTATCCTCAGCGCTTATTCAGCATTTGAAACCAAATATGAAGGAACTGAGACCGAAAATGAAATTGCGTTCGTAGACACCCCTTTTTTAGCCAACAATGAGCGTGTAACCAATTGTTAGGGGTTGCTGCCCATTGGCATATTTCAGGCAATCTCGCATAAAGTTCTGGGGAAGACATTGCCGCGGGTCCCAATTGGAGACGTTCAGCACCTTGGACAGCTCACGCCATTCAATTAGATCCGGGTGCACCCAGCGCAGCGCTCTCGCTGATAAAAGAAGCAGGATCGTATGGAGAGCGAGCGCTTCGTGTAAACAGTGCAAGAAACAGAAACATGTGACTGACTGCCTGAGCCGCTTCTGGATTTCCGTTCCCTTTCCCTAGCCACGGACGCCGCTTTCCGCTGGAATTCAGCATCTCCCAGAAAGCCAAGGCGACGGCACTGGTTGTCCAGCGCACCCTGCCACCAGTGTCGCCCCGGGGCCGCCGTCAGCCCGCTCGCGAGGAAAGGGAGAATGGCACGGCGGAGCCGCGGCGCCCTGACTCGCTCTGCTTTTGGCTTGGTTGTCTGGTTCGGGAGGAGTCTTTTTGGGATCGCCCGTTGCGAAGGGGGAAGTGGCTCCCTGGATGGAGCTACACCGCCAAACCTAAGGGCGGATGCGGTTTTAGGAAGCCGAACAATGCCACGCGGGTTGGACTTTATTCCCAGCCCCCACCCCCTTTCTAAGTGGGGATCGACTTGCACGTTTGAAATGGCTCAACTGTTGCGCTAGCAGGACACCGAGAGAGAGTCCCTCCTTCCAGCGGGGTGTCTAGGGAGAGCGATTTCGAGCCCCGGCTGCCTCAGAGGCACCTGCGCTAGGAAGGCTTTGGAAGCCGCTTGTCACTGGTGAAACCAGGCGGTGAGCTAGAGACACAGATGTCAGGAGCTGCCTCTTTAGGGAGCCCTGCCCGGAGACCCACGGATCTGCCCCCCGCGGAGTGACCCCGGGCCCGGGCTGGGGCCGGCTCCTACCTGCACCCTGGACTCGGTGAGGCCAATCCGGAGGGCCAGCTCCTCCCTCATGAAGATGTCAGGGTAGTGGGTCTTGGCGAAGCTCCGCTCCAGCTCGTTGAGCTGCGCCGGGGTGAAGCGGGTCCGGTGCCGCTTCTGCTTCTGCTGCCCCTGCTGCTGTCCGGGCTGGCTGGGGTTCTGCCCGCCCTGCTGCCCCTGCTGCTTGTCGGGGTCTTTGGCGCTGACGGCTAAGGAGCTGGGGTTGGAGCCCACCGTGGTGATGTCGTCCCCGGGCAGCAGCGTGGCCCCTTCCACCGTGTCCGAGTTGGGAGCCAGGTCCCCCGGGTGCCCCCCCGGGTCGGAGCCGCCGACGCCCAGGCGGCACTTCACAGCCTCCCGGTGGCCCAGCAGCTCGGCCGCATCTTTCATCCCTGCGGGGGCAAAGCAGCCGCGGTCACTGCGCTGCAGCCGGCGGGGGCTGCCCCGCGCCTCCATCCAAGCCGGGCTCCGGGCGCTGCCTGCACCCCCGCCCGCCCCGCACCCGCAGCCCAGCCAACTTCCAGCGCGGGGCAAGCTCCAGGCTCAGCCCGGCCAGTGGGGCTCACCGATCCCTCCTTACACCCCAGGGCCAGTGGGGCTCACCCCCCCTTGCACCCCACCCCGCCTCACCCCAAGCAGCTTCACCGCCCTGTGCCAGATCCGGGCACACTCTCCCGATCCTCGTCCCCATCTGCACAAACGCTTATGTTAAAAAAAAAAGGGGTGGGGGGGGAGAGAGGCAAATCAAATGAAAATCCCTCCTGGCTGAAGCCGGGCTGGCCTGTCCGGGAGCGCCGGGGATGGGTGGGGGCGACGGCTGAGAGCAGAGGCATGAGGTGCCCGCACCTCGGGTGGATCTACATATTCCATAGGATTTTTTTTAAGAGACGTTAAATCAAATTAAAGCGGGAGCCGCACAATTACTTTGCCAGAAATTAGCCCATTTAGATCGCATTAAGGCAAAACAAGGACCAAATTGTCAATTTCCTGCCTCCGGCTCCTTCCTGCCGCCGCGGCTGCTGGGGGCAAGGGAGCTGCGGGGGAAAACTCACCGAGCCGGGCGTCCAGGAGGTCGGCGTGAGACAGCATCGCGCAGCGCTCCAGGGCGAAGGCTGGTCCCCCCCCCAAATTTTAGCAGCCTGAAGTTATGTAAAATAGATGTGGATAGAAGATATAGGCGAGAAGATATATATAGATCGCCTAAATGAAAGAAAATTCGGTGTGTGGTTAAAAAGGGGGTCTCTTGCATTATAATGTCCTTTAGAGAGACGGGGAGGTGCTTAACACTTCAATGAACCCGTGAGCAGCTCGGCGCAGGGACCAATCAGGAGGGCAGGCTGCAAATGTCAGCGCCCGGAGAGTCCCCACTCCG